CAAAGCCACCCTTTTATAGTGTAAAATAAGGTCATCATAAAAATTATATTTAACATAGAATTAGAGAATTTTATGGAGGTTTTATGAGGTAAATAAATTTATATTTCATATTTCAAAATGTTGGATCGAAATGACCTCATAAATTGGTCAAATAAAATATTTAGTAAAGTATTATTTTGAATAAAAAAACCCCAACACAGACATTCTCAATCCTCAAACTAAAGGATTTAGTCCCTCCATATCTCAACACGTGTATTGAATGTTTATCTGAAGTATTTACAAGCTATGTAAATCTCAATCATGTGAAGAGATCACGCATCACATGCATGGGTGCAATTTTGTTGGTTGAAGTCGTTGAAGTCCACGACGTCACAACACTTTTGAGGTTTTTAGTTATGGAATTTCCGTTTGCAATTTTTGTTCAAATCCACATTTTGATATTTTGTTTTGTTTATTTATTCAATGTTTTATTACCCTATTTATCTTATGGGTGCAAATTTGGGACGGACTCCCTATTAATAGAGAAAAAACGGATTCCACTTACTTAATGACATGTAGAAAATTAAATTAATATTAGTTAATAATCTTAATAGGACCCAATTTAAAATTAAAAGTCCTTGGGCGAAAGAAACAAATGGTATATTTTCTCTTTGTTTCTATCTTTTTTTTTTTCTTGAGATAAAAAAATAATTTCCTTAGATTATCAATTACCAAAAATTTTAAATATTCTTTTATTTAATTTTTTTGAAAATAATTTCTTTTATTTAAATTGAAATATTCAAGTGTGAGTCTTATGATCCTACGTGTTCTTTTTTGTATATTTCTAAAACCCCTAAAGGTTAACCCAAGTGGAAAAGTATATAATACGTAATTAAATATTACAAGTAACAGTAAAAGACTTACCCAGTATTTATCATCGGGTGTAAAATCGAAAGAATAATGATTGTACACAACAAAATATTTTATTAAGAATTATGCTGATTAAAAATAAATAATGCAAACTAAGATGTGAAACATGACAAAGGTCAACAAATATTTTAATTAACAAAAAGATAAGAAAAGTAAAAATACAAATAGGATAAGTATTTCTATTATAAAAAATGGACTGAAATGTAACGAGGGATGACAATGTAATTCTTAATTCTTTTGTACCGGTGTCATTCAATTAATGGACTCCGTTTATCACTTATTAACGGAGACCGTTTATAATTTAATCTCTTATCTTATTTGTACGCATTTTCAAATTATAAGAGTTACTATTTTGTGCTAAAAACAAAGACAAAAAGAAAATTCTAACTTGTATGAATATCAGGGGTATGTCAATAAGTTGAGCCACCTCGTGAGCTCGATATGGCGGCTTGAAAAAAGCTTAGCCTGTGATGTTATTATTGTATTTATTTATGATGTTGTTTAATTATACTTTTTAATATTTTAGTTATTCGAACCAAAATAAATTAAATAAACAAAAAAATGGCTAAAAAGAAGGGATAATTAGTGAAAAATCCTCAACTCATTTACTTATATTAAGGTGGTTATAACCTTATTTTTAATATTAGTGAGAACCCCCTAATTAGTTAATTAAATAAATATTTATTAAAATATAAAGTAATCTCTCTAACTTACCCTTCCATCAATAATTTACAATTTATTTTTTCCACCTAAAACCCTAACCACATAAATTCACCACCTCTTATTTTATTTTCTCTTTTTTCCATAGATTTGGCCTCTCCACCTCTGCGCCACCGCCGTCGCTCCACCAACGCCGCCCCACTTCGTCAAGGTCAGCACCATGGTACTTAAAGTTCTCATCTTCTTCCACTATCTCCTGCAATTTTTTTTTTCATATTTTCCTTTTCTCTTTTATTTTTAGTGTTAACCCCGCCACGCCGACGCCACCGTCACCGCCATTTGTCCCCTCCACCTCCGCGCACACCGCCGCTCAGGGTAGATTTGCAGCCGTTAAGGTGGAACACGGGCTGTAAAATAATTTGCATCTCATATTTCCAGAATCCAACTTGGACGAATTCTCAACAAATCAATTAATGTATGGATAATTTCATATGAGTAGATTTGTGGGTCCGGACTAATATGTTAAAAAATAGTTGAAAACATGTCATTTCATGAAGATTGATCGCATTTACTGCTTTGAGTTTGATTTAGATTAATTTGGTTTGGTTTGATTTGCCTTTCCTACCTAGTTTTTACAACGATATACTTGTTTCCGTTAATTTGTAGTTGATTTTGGTTTTGCTATTTTCATTGTTTTTGTAGTTGTTGTCGATAACTTTACAGTAGTTTTCGATAGTTTTATAATTGTTTTCGATATTCTGTGTTGATTTATACAATCTATAGTTAATTTATATTTCTTTCATAGTTGATTTCGATAATTTGTAGTTGAATTTATGTTATTGTAAATTTGCTATTTGTAAACCGCTGTTTTTTATAAAGTTGTTGTACAGGTTTCTAATAGCTGATTATGGCGAAAAATATGAACAATTGAAAAAAATAGTTGTTTCTAATAGTTGTTTCACAATCTGAAATGTTAAATGTCGTTTCAATTTTACTAATGCCGTTTTGACTTCGAACCTGATTTTGACATATTTCTATTTTGATTTTGGCAAAATTCGAAACACGAAAATTGTAGTACTTTGGGTTAGCTTTCTAATCCAACTTAAATCCACTAGATTGGATGTCGTGTGACAAAGTTATGCATGAATGAGTCTCATTTTGAATTTTAGATACCTCAATACATCAAAGTTGTGGGCAGTATCCATTGATTCATGTATATCTTTCTCGTCTGACATCCAATTTTGGTGATTCAAGTTGGATTAGAAAACTAACTCAAAATACTACAAATTCTATTTTTCGGGTTTTGCAAAATTTAAAAATGGAAATGATCAAGATCACGTTTGAAGTCGTAACGGTATTATTAAAGCTCGAACGACATTTATCACATCCCACAAAACAATTTATAGTTGTTCTTTATTAAAAAAAGGGCAACAAAATAGTTATTTTTTGGAAAAATGTCAAAAATAACTGAAAATTAAAATTAAGAAAAATGAAATAAAACAAAGGACATTTATAGTCGATTTCGGAAATATTATAGTTTGTTTAGAATCTTTATAGATGATTCCGAAAAAAAAAAACTGAAATTAAAAAAAATAAAATATTTTTTAAATAAAAAATTAAAAGAAAAATATTTTTTAAGTTATTATTGTTAGTTTTTAAATAAAATAATAAGAAAAACGAAAATCTAAATTTATTTAAATTATATATATAAAAAAATTAGGGTTTGTAGGTGGGAGTTTATAGAAAGATTTGGCAAGAGATTTCTTTGGGATATAATCACACACGATTGCACGCATCTCAAATTTCCGGATTTTGTGTGTGTGTCTTCCAAAAGGCTATTTTCTAGAATCATTAAGATAGTGGATTTTCTACTAATATTGAAAATATGGCTGGATCCACCCTTATTAAAAAATACTAGATGGGGTTATGACTAATAGTCCCAAAAAAAGAAAGAAATTAAATCTTTTAGTATTTTTATTTATTCATAGCAAATTAAATAAAAATAGTAATATTCTAAATAAAATACAATTGAAAAACTTATTAAAAATAAAGAAAATAATTAATTATATTTTCAATTTAATTAATAAATTTGTTATTATTTTAGACCTAAAAAGAAATGAAATAAAAATATTAAAGTTGAAATAGGCTAGAGCGTGGCATCATCTTAAAACTCGTCATTTGAAATGACGCATTTTAAGGACCGTAGATCTACCCGACACGTGGCGTCTTTTCAAAAAGCGTAGTTTGAAGTGACGCACTTTTATATTTCTGCAATTCTCCAAAAAACTATCATACTTCTAAAAAAATTGGACCAACATGACCTAGAAAAATAATTTCCCCGAAATCCTATAAATGTTTTCTTTATTAGGAGGCACATTCCAGGAGAGTGTAGACATATAATCTTAGAATTCTTTCCAATAAATATTCTTTTTAACGGAAGCCAAATAAATGAAAGGTTGACAATGAAATTTAAAAAGTTATCAGTAGCTATTAGCTATTGAAACAAATGATACAATTCATCAACGAAGTATAAAGTTGAAAAAAATTATTTTAATTTATTTCACATGATTAGCCTAGTGTGGTTTATTTTTCTCGTATGTTTTGCAAGCTATTCAACAAGAGTGCAGATTTACGCAGTGCATCTATATGGTTAGCTGCAAGTTCCTTCGTTAACAATAAAAAGAAAAACAAATTATTTTAAGACTATGGCCTTCATGAAATTCGACAAGTCGCATGATAAGAATATTAATACATAGAATAGAAAAGATGAAAGCCGGCAATCAATCGCCTTTTGTAATTTCGTGTTGGGGTTTCCGCTTCCATTAATTAGAGATGTGACCATTAATGGACATAGAACAGAAAACCGATTCAACGCAAGTCATTATCTTATTTTTCTTTTATTTTTAGAAATTCAAATTATGTTACAAACTAAGAAAGTATGGGAGAAGATAGGATTGGAACCTAAAACTCTACTCTAACAGTAGAAATTAAGTATCATTTCTCTTAGTGATGGTTGGTAGACATTATCCAATTAGTAAAACAAAGTGTGAAACTCTCCAGCCAGGTCTACTTTATTTGTTATATTACATAAACTTGTTTACTTTATTTGTTATTAAATGCCAAATTACGGCAAATGCCAAATTACGGTTACTCTTGAGTATGGTCAAATTACGAAGGAATCTTTTTTATTTGGATAATCACAATCACTCCTTAACTGTTATACACGTCCATTCTTACGATGTTAAATTTATCTATTGAAAAAATGGAATTTTCGTAAGACAATACATAATCAAGAGGTGATTGTAATTAAGCAAATATAAGTGATTTTTTGGTAATTTGACATTATCTAAATGGTGACCGAAATTTGACCGTTGTTAAATTACATAAACTTAAGAGTGTTTCAAATGAATTTCCTATGCAAGAAAAGTAACTGGGCTGCAACAATTTAAATTCAAAAAAGCGAAAAACAAATATCCAAAACAATAATGGACTTTATTCTTTTCAAGGAAAACAGTTATTTATCTGAAAAACATTATTTATAAATTTATAGATTTAGGGAAAGTTTTTTCACTTTTAAGAAATTTACACAGAATTGATGCCACAATCAATGCGGAAAAGTCCAAAAGTCAGAAAGTGCCGAGAATCTTCCACCAACTCGACCCTGACTCAGAGTCGACTCAGTACTACTACAGTTTACTGATCCTGGACGATCCCATAGCCTTGGTCATGTCTCTAAGAACAAACTTCTGAATTTTCCCGGTGGAAGTCTTGGGCAGCTCTTCCATGAAAACCACCGTCTTCGGCACCATGTAGTGCGGAAGCCTCGCCCTGCAAAACTCCATCACTTCCTTCTCCGTCGGCTTTTCAATCACACCATCCTTCACACTCAGAAAGGCACACGGCGTCTCTCCCCAGAACTCGTCCGGCCGAGCCACCACCGCCGCCTCGTTCACCGCCGGGTGAGTGTAGAGAACCGACTCCACCTCCACGCTGCTCAAATTCTCCCCACCGCTGATTATAACATCCTTTGATCTGTCTTTAATTTCAAGGTACCCATCTGGGTGCATCACCCCAACATCGCCGGTGAAGAACCAGCCATTCTTCATGCACTTCGAGGTGCCCTCGGAATCTTTGAGATACCCGAGCATCACGGAGCCACCTCTCAGTACAATTTCACCCAGTGTTTTCCCATCTCGAACCACACTCTTCCCTGATTCCGGTTCGATCACATCCACCTCCGCCATCCCGGTGGTCCGCACGCCTTGTCTAGCTTTCAGCCTCGCCTTCTCCGCCGCCGGAAACTTGTTCCATTTCTTCTTCCACGTGCAGCATACCACAAGCCCACCTGTCTCCGTCAGACCGTACCCGTGGCTCACCACGAACCCGAGCGACTCTGTTCGGAGGAGCACCGCCGCAGGCGGCGGCGCTCCGGCAGTCAGAATATAAACGGGCCTTTCCAGGGGTTTTCCGTCTGGAATACTGGACAGCAAGTTGAGCACAACCGGCGCTCCGCACATGTGGGTCACGTTGTACTTCCTTATGGCGGAGTAGATGGCGTCGGCGTCGAATTTGCGGAGGCAGACGTTGGTTCCGCCGGCGGCCGCCATACCCCAGGTGTAGCTCCACCCGTTTGCGTGGAACATCGGGAGTGTCCAGAGGTAAACGGGCTCCTTCGGCACCGACCATTCGATCAATGAATCCATGGCCACGATGAACGTTCCTCGGTGGCTGTGGACCACCCCCTTCGGCGACGACGTGGTTCCCGAGGTGTAGTTCAAAGTCAACGGGTCAAACTCGGTCTCCGGGCGAACCCAGTTGAAACTCGAATCACCACTCAAAATCATCTCCTCGTATTCCCCACAGTAAATATTCTCCGATGGCCGGATTCCCGATTCGTCATCCTCTCCGATAAGGACAAGAAGAGGGCGGTCGGAATTCGGCGGGAACAAAGAGAGGGCTTCAAGGACTAAAGATTCCGACTGGTAATCGACGAAAACAAGCTTGGATTGGGCATGGCGGAGGACGACGGAGATGGTGCGTGAATCTAGCCGGAGGTTGACTGTATTAAGAACGGCGCCGGACATGGGGATGGCGAAATGAAGTTCGTACATGGCGGGGATGTTAGGTGCGACAACGGAAACGACGTCGGATCTTTTGATTCCTAGAGAGGAGAGAGAAGACGCCATTTTCAAGCACCTCCGGTAGGTTTCCGACCATGTGTAGGTGGTGGAGTTGTAAATGATTGAAGGGGAGTCGGCGTAAACAACGGCGGCCCTCTCCAAGAAACCCAGCGGGGTTAGAGGGCTGGAATTCGGAGGACTTGGCTTCAGTTGATCCATGGATTGGCCGGAATAAATTATTATTTTATTTGCTGTGATCAATTTGGTGGTGTGTTTGTTTGATTTAAGGTGATAAGGTCTGTGCTAGTGTCCACGTTGGATTTTTCCTTGTTTAAATACATCCATTGACCAAAGCAAGTTTTTTAGTCCCAAGTCCTAACTGGGTGGGTAGGTAAAGGTTAGTATTTTTTGAATTAATTTTTTGATTTTTCAATCGCATATGAAGAAGATTGACCGACTGGCAACAGTCAACACATACATACGAATGGTTCCACCCGTCCAATCTATTTGGTTAATTTACTTGCCTCCCTATTTTAATATCGAGAAATTTGCTAGACACTCCTTATTTTGGACTTATATAGGTAGATATCGTAGTTGCTAGATGACTATAGGTATAAGTACTTTGACTCAAAAAAATAATATAAATGAAATAAAATCATTAGTGTATAGACATAATCACCTTCAATTAATAAGAAAACAAATCTCATATATCTTCTCTCTTTAAAATCATAGCCAAAATTCAGAAATCCAAAATCATAGCCAAAATTCACATTGTGTCTCCTGTATGTAAAAACCTTCCCATCGTTTTTGTTGTTAGCAATTTCCGTTTGCAGGTTGGTTTAACTTCGTTTGTTGTTTAAAGAATTGCGTTTGATGTTGAGATTCGATTCTGCAAATTGTTCCATAAACAATTTTGGTTGATGTTTTTAATGATGCTGATTTTTTTTTTGACCAAGTCATATGTAGTTTATTGCTTGCAATTCAATAATGCAAGTTTGCTAAATGTTTTTCTTCAGTTTGCTGTTTGTATTTGGCGAAGTCGTAGGTAATTTTTTGTTTGTAATTCAGTAATACAAATTATGGATTTTGTTTTTTCAGTTTGTTGTTTGCATTTGCGAAATCATATGTATTTTGTTGTTTGCAATACAATAATATAAAATCTAATTATCAGTTTGCTATTTGCAGTTCGTGGAGTCATAGGCGTCGCAGTTCCCGGATCATAGGCGGTGGTGGGGCTGCGGTGGCGTTTTTAGAGTATGAGTTTGTAAAATAAATTGTGTATTTTTGTTATGAATTAATTTATTTGTTTTAGTTAATATTTGGAAAAAAAGATGTTTGGGAATTGTTTTTGATAGAGAGATTTTTGGGGATCTGATTTGATTTAATTAAGGATATTTTTGCCATAATAAATATTATTAATTTACTAAAACATTAAAATTTGACTTGGATTTACACACATAAATTATAATATAGAGGGACCTATAGCAAATTGCCCCTTTTAATATACAATAAGGTATATTTTTTGGGTAAATTATGAAAATCCCATAAACTTAGACTTAATAACAAAAAACACCCACCTATTCGTAATTACTAAAAACCCTTGAGGTTTGTTTTCGTCTTACACCAATTCCTTACAATATGACTTTTCACAAATTTTTTTTTTTATTACAGGGAATAGAACACAATTTAAGATATTTTCTTTTATTTCTCACCTATTTAACATAAGGTATAATAGATTGTACACATTTTCTGTTAAAAAACTCGATCAACATTTAATATGAGAAGGATTTTGATTATTACGGATAGGTGAATAACCAATATGTAGACATAATAAGCCCAACTTGCTGGGATTAGAGTTGTTAGCTTATGTAAAAAAAAAAAAAAAAGAAAGAGTTGTTAGCTTATGAGCTAGGCGATTACCATCACATTTGATAAACGAAAATTGACGAAGTTAAAGTTTCTGTTGGAAAATATCAATCGGAAAAAACAGAAAGAACTTGAACTGGTCGGCCGAGGCACGAAAAAAATTCCGGTCTCTTTTATAAGACGAATTGTACGAACCCCTTTAATTATGTTTATGGAACAAAAATTTGGTCGTATCGCCTATTGGATACAACAACCCACCCACAATGATACCTTCAACCAATACTGCACTATTAGTGAAGAGGAAACTTAACCCAACACCTATAGAGCCCAAGATAATATGAATAATGAGAAAGAAAATTTGAGAAGAAATAATAAGTTTGTTTTTTTGTCGTGTTTGAGAATGAGCACCACACCCTTTCTAATAGTGAAAAAATATGGCTGTTGGGAAGATAGCAAATTAATATCCAAATTCATTTTGCATCAATTACAATTTTAAATTTATTTGAATTCAAAAGAAAAACCGATCAGTGCTTTTAAAACAAAAAATTGATGTAAATTGTAACTCCATAAAACTGACCAAGGCTTTCAAATGAAATAATTAAAAAAACATGTGGGAAGATTTGGTAACCGACAATTAGAAAAATAATCGGAATTTGATTTTATTTTTTATTAAAATACCCAACAATTCCCCACTTATTATAATAAAATATATAATAGTAAATAATAAATATATGAGCTTTATTAGAGTATTATGCATGACGAAAGTGGATCAACCTTTAAACCTTCACTTAGTATAATATAATTCTCGTACTAGAATCAAAGTGGACTCTGCCTTTAAACAATGATCATTGGGGCACGTAGACTTACATTATACGCATAATACTCAAGTGTTCCAAACAAGTTTCTTAAGCTAGCACGTTAACGTCCATGTGCTTTATCCGATTATTAACGAGTGCTCTAAAGAATCAAGCCATATTCTCATAGGGAGTGGCCTTACTCCCACACCACATAGGTTAGTCTATCAAGAATGTACTCGTAACTCAAACATCCCACCTCTATGGGCTACAAAACTCATTAAGAGATTTATTTATCAACCTCACTTATCGTACGAGCTTTAATATGTGCACAACATATCCTAGGGATGGACATTATAATAAAATTGTGCATTATATCTCTTTTAAGTTGCCTTATGATTCGTTTGTCCCACACCTAGTTCTTAGGATCTCTAGTCCCTAGGTAGTTGTATCATCATAAGCAACTTATGTATTTTTTGGCTTTAGTACAATCACCCTCGATGTACTCAATATTTTATCTCTAGCTAGAGTTTTCTAAAAGGATCCGCAAAATTATCACTTGATTTCACAAACTCAATGGTAATCGCACCATTTTTAATATATGATCTCACAATATTGTGCTTTCTTCTAATGGTTTTCAATTTACCATTATAGAATTTAGTTTGTACTCTCCCAATAGCAGTTTTGCTACTACAATGTATTAGCACAGGGGGTAGTGGTTTTTCCCACATCGGAATTTCATATAACAAATCTCTAACCAACTCGCCTCGTCATTGGCTGAAGTCAATGCAACTAATTCAGATTCCATGGTGGTTTTGGCTATAATATGTTGCTTTTTATATCGCCAACAAATAGCTCCTCTACCCAAAGGAAATACATAGCCAGTGGTTGAATATGAATCCTCAGATTCAGAATTCCAATCGGCGTCACTGAACCCTCCAATAATAGCAGGATGTTTCTTATATAGTAAACAATAATTCATGGTTTCTTTAACATATCACATAATTTGACTTAAATCCTACCAATGTTCAAAATTAGGTTTACTAGTGAATTGACTTACAACACCTACGGAATTAATATGCAATATATGGTCTAGTGCAATCAGTGGAATATCTAAGCCTACTTAGCATATAATTTTTGATCTTCCACATCAAAATCATTCAGAGTAGGATGCAAACTAACAACATTATTAGAAGGAGTGTATGAAGAAGTACAATCAAAATAGTTATACTTCTTTAATATTTTTTCAATATAGTGACATTGATCAAGAAATATTCCTTCACTAGTTCTATAAATTCTCATGCCATGTATCAAATTTGCTTCACCCATGTCCTTCATATCAAAATTATTTTTAAGTAGATCTTTCGTAGAATTAACAATTTCAATGTTTGAACCAAATTTCAAAAGATCATCAACATATAAGCATATAATGACATGCAAGTTTTCTTTGGAACAATAATAAATACACTTATCACTTTCATTTGTTTTGTACCCATTAGACACATGCATTGATCAAATTTCTCATGCCATTTTTTTGACGCTTGTTTCAAGCCATAAAGAGATTTAACTAATTTGCAAACTTTATTCTCATAACCAGATTGTACAAAACCTTCAGGTTGTTCCATATATATTTCTTCTTCTAAGTGTCCATTTAAGAAGGCAGTTTTTACACCCATTTGGTGAATTATCAAGTTGTGAATAGAGGCTACAACAATTAGCAATTTAATAGAAGTAATTCTAGTCACGTGAGAAAATGTATCAAAGAAATCTATATCTTCTTTTTGTTTAAAACCCTTAGCAACTAATCTTGCTTTATACTTATCTTTTGGTGCCACCGGGATTACATTTTCTCCTTAATATACATTTACAACCTATTGTTACACATCCATGAGGCAAATCAACTAATTTCCAAGTTTTATTTTCTAAAAGTGAGTCCATTTCATTATTGATAGCTTTTCTACACAAGTCAGAATCTTGTGAAGATAAAGCTTCACTTATGGATTGAGGTTCATTTTCTAAATTGTAAATGCATGAGAAAGTCATGAGCAAAGTTTTTATCTATCCTAGCCTTTTTGCTCCTTCTTAACTCGCTATCTACTTCATTTTCTAGAATGGGATTAATTATAATTTCACTAGGTTATTTGGAGATTTCTATACCCCACTAATTCTCAATTTAAAAGGAAATTTATATTCATGAAATATAGCATCTAAAGATTCAATCGCTACATTATTGTCTAAGTCTAAGAATCTATAAGCTTTACTAGAATCAGCATAACCAATAAAAACGCATCTAGTTGCTATAATTCCTAACTTAGGAATTTTAGGATCAGTTTTTCTTACAAAAGCAAACCCCCAAATTTTTAAAATAGCTCAAGTTTGGCTTTCTATTTCTCCATATTTCATAAGGAGTGATTAAACTTTGTTTTCAAGGTACTCTATAAAGAGTATAGTTAGCTAGAACCGCTTCACCCCACAAGTATTTAGGAGCCCCGAAATTAGCCAATATATCATTAGTCAAATTTATTAAAGATGTATTTTTTCTTTCAACTACACCATTAGATTAGGATGAATAAGGGGCAGTTACTTCATGTATAATCCCTAAAAATTCAATGTGAGATCTAAGTCCAAAAGAATCATATTCTTTCCCTCTATGAGTTCTAAAACACTTAATTTTTCTATCGAAGAGATTTTCAACTTTTTTTAATAAAAATAACTAATTTTTCAAAAGTATCACTTTTATGCCGCAACAAGTAAATATAACAATATTTAAAATGGTCATCACT